AAAGCGTCAAGCTGGGAAACAATGTAACGTACAGTAGTCGCGGCGGCGGCGGCAGCAGCGGCAACGGCAGTGGTAGACGTGGCGGCAGAGGTCGACACAGCAGCAACGATGGCAGAAGACGTGTTTTTGCCAGTGTTGTTCTTTCCTCCATTGTTGTTCTTTCCTCCATTGTTGTTCTTCCCTCCGTTGTTGTTCTTCCCTCCATTGTTGTTCTTTCCTCCCTGACCGTTGTTGTCTGAACAATAGACGATAAACACATTTGTAATGCAGAAGACATATAGAACTTACTAGTGCTGGTGTTCGACTGGTTGCCGACAGCACTCGTCACAGCACTGGCAGCAGAGGTGGTTGTGGTGCTGCCCCCGTTATTATGGTTGTTGTTACTGCTTCCGTTATTGTTGCTTCCACTGTTGCTGCTGCCGCTGGAAGTTGACGTCGCAGATGCAGCAGTAACGGTCACAGTGTGGAAGACGGTCTGAACCTGATTAGTCTGTTCAATCGAATAAAATCAGATGCGTTTTAGTCACAACGAATTCACACTCACAACACACTCCGTTTCAGGGTGAATGTTGTTATTAGGTGCCGGTGCAGCCTGTGCGGTAAAAGAAGAAAGAGCGAGGGTAAGGAAAGCCACGAAGAAAGATCGAGAATGCATTTTGTTAAAGAAGGGATATTTTCAAGGGGAAGAAAGAGTGTGAATTGCTTTGAGGCTGAGAACTTTCAAAGTAGTTAGCGAGAGCAGAAAACGACACCAGTGTCGGGCGATCGTAGTCTTTGGAGCGCGCTAGGCGACAGCCACAGGCAGAGCAAGGGACGGAAACGAAAAGAGAAGGGAAATGAGAACTATCAATCAGTGCTGGTTGTACCTTTATAAATGCATACGGGGCCTGTCCATGTCCATCCCTCGCAACATCCGGGAATGATCTCGGCAATTGTCAAGGACGGTTGCACCCCTCTTTGCACCCCCTCCTTCACCCGTCTAGCGAGTCGATGCGGGCCTGGTAAAAAAAAAAAACCTACAACAACCAAAACTTATAGAACAAAGGCGGCCATTTTTGTGCTCATCCTAGCGTTTTAAATTTAATGCTCGTTCACTCGTTGCTGCCTATTTTTAGCCATAAGTGGGTTGACAACCCGGACCAACAACATATCAGTCACGACTAGACGTCGATGAGTGATTTCGATGGCTACAGTTCTATGTTTATACCACCATCTGTGATATGGGTCCTACAGCTGACAGACTCAAGTAAGTAGATTCGTGGTCTCAGCCGGGGACATTACAATTGGCTCTTCGGTATTAAAGATCCAGACATGACAAGCGACCCAATCTTCTGTGCCGTACTCCTGGTCCAAATCGAATCGTATCAAGTGCGTGAATGAAACTGGTTGGAACTCGACGCTAACCATGTTTCTATACAGCATCCCGCACTTTGTGCAGTGCGGCACTCCACTATCATGTCAACTCGCCGTCGCAGGCTGAGGTTGCGTCTTCTATACATTCCGTTCGACCAGCTGTTCATGTTAAACCCAGTTAACCCTTTATAAGCCCGTACCACGCCGTGCACCGATGCGTGACTAAGTATCACTGTAAGTATATATGTCTAAACTTATACGATGATGCATTTTGACCAGATTCTGACCGGGACCGCTCACATAAGTATCAGAATTGCTCGGGTGAACAACATGTTGCCAAGGACGACGAGGCCGATTCGGGCCGAAATTCTTCAGTTTGATCGAGGGGGTTTGGGTAGATTAAATCAAGGATGCATCGTTGCAAGGGAGGTCTATGTTGCGCCACTAATGGATCCTGGGAGGTCAACTCCCTGACATGTCACATCAAACTCCCTGACATCAAAGCGCTCTCAAGTACCTTACGACTGTGAAATCCATCTCCAGGTCCAGTAAACTTTTCTGTTCTCTGTGTTGGTCGTCATCCCCTTGCGTCAACTTGTCCCGATGGTGCGGAATCGCACATGCTCTGATAACCTTCTTGCGCGACGCGTTGCCTAGAACACGACTTCCTCTGGTTAAATAGCCCGAATGGGAATAATAATGGCTGGTTAGCGTAATGGTTAACGCGTCAGTTTCCGGTCCAACGAGGTAGCTGAAGATTCCGGGTTCGAGTCCCGGGCTGGTCGCTTTTTGTCCCCCATGAGGTGAAGGTGCCCTGCCGCGGAGCCTGAAATTCTGCCTTCTCCCAATGCCAAGTCCTGCCAAGTCCCATTTTCCAAGTTGTTTTTCTACCGTCATCCATACCCCCGCATCCCGTATACCCAGCTCTAATATCGCTAGGTTGTCGCACTCTGCAAGCTGAAATCATGAAGTGCACGTATTTTCTTCCATTTGTCTCTCTCCCTCTCGCTTTCGGCGCAGAATACCTTGTCGGTGTAGGGAAGGATGAAACGACTGGGTCTGTCTGGCCATAAAGTACTCTTGCCCCTCCCACTGAGTAAATATTCTAGTAAGAAGGGCCTGGGCTTTGATCCCTCTGTCATCCACCCTGCAGTAGGCGATACCATCGTATGGGAGTTCCGAAGTGGCCAGCACAGCGTTGTTCGTACGTGCTCCTACTCTAATGTTTATTTATAATTTCTTTGATTAAGCAAATTTCCCCTCCACCTTAGAGTCAACGTTTGAGAACCCATGTGTAGGTAATGGAGGCATTAACACTGGTGTTCAGACGGTAGGCCCTCAATAATCACAATACTTAAATACCTAATCAATTCTCTTGGCTACTAGGTGTCTGACTCTGTAAGCGTCGATGCTTCTGGTCTTCCGACGTACACGGTCACCGTGAACAGCACAGACCCGCAATGGTTCTTTGACGAAGCAGGAGGTCTGTGCAGTCAGGGTGCTGTTCTCGCAATCAATCCTTCCAGCACGCAGACTGCTGCTGCCTTCGTTGACAATGCTGAGAAGGGCTCGACTTCGTCTCCCTCAAGTTCGACTGAAGAACCGACGTCTGTGGCGAACGAGGCCACTAGCTCTCTCGCGAGCAGCAGCTCGGCCACACAGACTAGCCCTGCAGCTGCGACCGTATCAAACGCAGCAGGACGTAGTGCTCGGTCGAGTGGCCATGGCCTCTTGCTCGGGGTGTTGTCGTTCTTGGCTTTGGGCATGTTCTGATCGAATGACTTTTGAACTTGGGTATGAAGGACTCGTAACTAGTACTTGTAGCATTGACCACATTCGTTTTAATTATTTTGTCGTTCGCCATTGGATTGGCTCCACACAAATGTGCTGAGATCAGTGAGAAGCCTCTTCATCAATAACCACCACGTGCATTGAAATATATTCAAATTGCGGATTTGTTCTTGCGCTTTCCCTGTATTCACGACGATGAGCGGCGTCTCGCGCAGCCTGAGCGACGTTCCCGAAGAAGGCTCTTTGACGCCGACATTGAGTCCCAGATCAGATGGTTTATCTTCGTCAACGACCCCGGCTAACTTCAACCCTGGTGCCTTTCCTACAACCTCACATAATATGGCCACACCGTCTTCTCGCACAGTCGTTTCAAAGCCACGTACACCAAGTATCAGGACTCTTGGCCGATCCTCCAACGAAAGCACCGTGTCAGGCTCCAGCAGTAGCAGCAGCGCTGCAAAACGGCCACCTTTATCTACTTCAACTACCACTCCGACGTCCTCAAAGTCCAGGAAACCACCGATAACTTTCTCTGGAACGAGGATCAAGACCATCCCGACTTTACCACACGATAAGAATGCCGAGTCTGTGCCAAGCACCGCAATGCACTGGAGTCGTGCCCCGGTGTATGGTGCGGTCCCACAACGCACGATGCGCGCACATACGATGACACTGGTGGACAATATTGCATGGCTGGTTGGTGGGATTGATGACAAGGATTCAAACAAAGATATGAAAGACATGCATTGCTTTGACACTGGTGCGTCACAATGAAGGCATGCTACGCTCCCACTTACGCTCTTCATTTAGAGACCATGCAATGGACTATCCGAGAATCAACGGGCACCATTCCTCCACCCTTTCGTGCACATACTACGACGCTCATCGACCGCAAACTCGTCGTGATTGGCGGAGGCTTCGGCATGCGGTACTTCAACGACGTCTACGTCTTTGACACCATCACGCGGCACTGGACCACCCCTGTCGTTTCAGGCACTCCTCCAACACCACGACGCGCACATACTGCCGTCCTGTATGGGCAGAAGATTTGGCTGTTCGGCGGGGGGACTGGGCTGCATGCGCTGAACGATGTGTGGACGCTCGATGTATCATCGTTCAGTAAGATGAAGTGGGAGCAGGTACAGACGACAGGAAGGACGCCGAAGAACCGGGGGTACCATACTGCGAATCTGGTGCGGAATTTGATGGTAGTGGTGGGTGGTAGCGATGGGAAGGATTTCTTCACCGATGTGTGGTGTCTCGATCTTGGTATGTGCCACTTTGTGAATGCCGGAGAGTAAGCTTCTTATATTTGGTGTAGAGACCTGTCATTGGAGCCAGATTCAACTCGCGACGAACAAGTATAAGCGGATAGCACACAGCGCGACGCAGGTCGGATCGTTCCTTCTCATCACCGGCGGATTCAACGGTGAAGAATACTGTTCTGACGTTCTTCCTTTCAACCTGGGTAAGAAATCCTCTATCTGTGCAAGTCGTCCTTCTACTCATATTCTATTTGATAGTATCCCTAACCTACGAGCCGCGTGTTCCGTATGGAAATCAACCCAGTGGTCGCGGCTACCACGCGTCAATTCTTGCGGATAGTCGGCTGTTCCTCTTCGGTGGCTATGACGGAGGTAGTAGCTTCGACGATGTCTACATATTGGATCTCGCTGCGGGTGCATACTTGCCACAAGTGACAAGTTTCTCTATCGAGCTGTAGATGAAGAGGCGATGGAGGTTGTGTACCTTATATCATATACCTTGCTTTATTATTGCAATAACGTGATTAGGGGACTGGATGCGGACGAACGCGCCCTAGCCTGATGTAGCGTAGACAGCCGTCCCGTACATCGTCTTTGCTAGTATATCGGTTAGTACACGCGCCTGTCATATTACCGATTTGGCGCACCGCGCGAAAGCTGGGTTCGACTCCCAGGCAGAGAGAGCTTTTTTGACCTTCCATACATAACATTTCATTTTAACCCTTCTACCAACCGATTGAAAATAAACATTGAAACAGTCTTTATAGACTTTATAGATTCAAGTACACGATCTTGTTGAAGTTTTTAAGAAGTCGCAATGAACGGGCCGTTGGCGCATTGAAAACCAAGCGTTGGTTGTTCACCAGCTACAAGCGTCGCCGCATTGCAAAGTACGTTCGTGTGAGGTGAACCTGTGTGCGTCTTAATGTTGATACCAGAAACGGTTATGTTCACGGCTGCGAAACAATCGGTTGGGGCTGGTCACACGAAAGGACCATGATAACATACCAGTGTCGGGGTACAAATCAAAAACGATTGACTTGGGCTCGTCAAGGCCAGTAACGTAATTCCAGCAGGGATCGGAGATACAGGTTCCGTCCGCTATTCGAATGGTAGATATGAGATATGAGGCTCTGATAAATGGGTAAAGGTTGACTTGCTCCAGTTAGTGCCTAGCGTGCCCTGGAAGTCTACGCGGATGTTCTTCCCTGGAAGATTCCAGCCCCAGGCAATGGGCTTGATGACTTTGAGGTTCTTCAAGAAGCCATTTGTAACATTGAAAGTGGCAAGTTGAGGGCGCAGAATCTAAGAGAGAGAAAGAGGTATATGAGGATAGAGTATGCACGTAATTAACACCATGAAACCTACGCGGTTGCCGATGTTCCACCATTGTTGACCGTAGCCATTGAAGCGCCCCCATTTGAAGTTGTCAGATCCTATGAGACTAACGTCTGTTCCGTGAATATAAAACCACGGGGTCGCGTATGTCTGAAATGAAATAGCTGGTGTCAGGCATCTCGTTTCTGAGAATACAGCGCTTTACATACACTGGGTTGATTCTTCGTGACATTGATTGCCGCTTGTACGACGGCCATTTCCTGAGGGAGGTTAAGGTTACCATTGAGGCGCACGAGAACGTTGTCTATTTCAACCAGCGTCGGTCGGCCTTGAATTTCAGTCGAGATACCCAGAATGTTTGCGTACCAAGTCCAGCGAGAGAGATAGGTGTGAAAGCATTATATTCCACCTGTTGGAATTCAATAACAGAGTCCTTTTGGCACTCGTTGAATGCTGCCAGAATGTTGTTTGAGTCGTCGCTCCCGTTCGTGTTGTGCTTTACTATACACGTCTTGATATGAGGCCTGCTGGGGTGGTCGTGCGGCCAATGCGAGTTACTATGACCGTCGTGATCATCATGACCAGCGTGTACAAAAAGTACAGCAGCCAAGACGAGGGTCAAGGTCAGGCGTGTATTCTGGAAGATCATGGTCAACGGAGAGAAGGATTTCAATCCTAGCTAGAAATGTTCGAACTTTGCTTAAGAACCACACTCAAACCGCACTGGAATTGAAAGAGTAGGGAAAGGCGGCCCGGAAGACAAGGCGGACCGCACAAGTTGGAGTACTCCCTGTAACTCTAGTCACCCTGCACAATCAGCAACCGCTAAAGCGCTAAAGGCCAGTAAAGAGGCCAAGTTGCACGCATTTACCGTGTTTAACGGCAGACAGGAGAGGCTATGTTAACAAGCCGAGTGTAGAGGGTCGGCCGCTCAGCGATATGACGCTGATATCCGATTATGGGTGAGACACGGATGCTTCCTAGATCCCGCATAAGCCATTGTAATGGACGTCTTCGAGAGAGCTGCGCTCGCTTGGTCATTCTATTGCCGCGCTCCTAATGGCATACCAGCCGAAGCTTGCGTATATCATTGCCACTTTTCTGCAGGCAGTGGCGTACGGTATGTTTTTAGATGTATCCTATACTAGTCTCTGAACACAGTGTGCACAGGCATGAATATAATCTCATTCGTAGCTTGCCTCAGAGCCCTGGTCATGCTTGGTGGAAAGGTGCGGCCTAAGCAAGACATTCGTTGGTGGATGGTCGGGGCAGCCTTGGCCATGTTCAGCATCGCCACGGCCGATTCCATAATAGAGGTGCACTTTATCGTGTCACTTTTCTACGAAAAGGATCCAAGGGCAAGCCTGGAATTCATTGGTGAATTCCAGTGGTGGAGTATCGCGTCTTTCTGTTTCTACTTCATTCAGACCTGGCTTGGTGATTCAGTTTTAGTGCGTGTTGCGCCCAGTTTATCATACATCCAAGCTGAGGCTTTTTTTTTGACAGATTTACCGCTGTTATATTGTCTGGAGTAGGCGACTCACAATAGTTGCTGTTCCTATTGTGTCTTCGTTCGCCGCTCTAGGTGCGCCAAACTGCGTTTCGGGTCTGCGTCTACTTACGCCCTTTTTCTACTCATAGCATTGGGTATAGCAGCGACCATCATCGGATCCTTACAAGGCACCCGCAAACAAAATTTGGTCCCTATTATTATCACATTCTACGCCATGGCCATAACTACCAATTTCATCTCATCCTCGCTCATCGTCGCTCGTATATGGGGTGTCAAGAAAGGAATATCGAAGTATCCCACTCCCAGCACATTTCAAAAAGAGGACCCTCTTTCTCGAGCTATTATGGTTACCATTGAGGCCGGCCTTGTATATACGATATCTCTCATAGCACTGGTTGTGATCTATCTGGTGATTCACACTGCTCAGGGTCAACGAGGGGCCGACAGCCCCCGTGATTCAGCTTCCTTTAACAGAATTTTGCCACCTCAGAATCAGCTGAAGATTACCAAGGATGTCGTAGTCTCTCACGACCCTTCACCTTCAGAAGGCGACATCGTCGAAATTAATACCGGCGACACAGGGAAACGGGAAGACGTTCGCATTTCTTGGTAACAAATCGCCAAGACTATCTACCTGTAGTCGGGTAATATTCTCCACCCATTGGACGATCGATAACGCATCCCACCATACCAGTTCTACGGTAGTACAAGCATGGAGACAGTGGCCACTGGCAAGTTGCATGTCTGAAGGAACTATCAAATGGTGTCAACAAGTTGGGGGTCGCATTGCTCAGTGAAGGTTTGGCGTGACATCGAATGTCCCCTTGGCGATTCTCTCCGGAATTCCGAATAACGCTAGTTAAAATCCAACGCTTACATACATACTGGAGCAGATACAAACCTCAGGCTGTTCGACGCCTCATCCGTCCCACACGAACTGTAGATCTCATTCACAGGACATAATGTTAGTTAATTTGTATCATCCAAGTCTTCGATTTCGAGACCGAAACACAGCTGGGCTAGCCCCAGATCGTGCAAGCGCGTCATTCTCATCAGCATGGTCAAACCCGCATCGCCGGTAGCGTCCTCTGGACGCCCATTTAAAATTGTCCACGAGTGATCGTCCAGCTCCTCTGCCATGCGTCCCCAAGCTGGCTTAATTGCGCTAGGATAGCTGAATGATGCCGCTATGAAACACATGGGGGAGCCTGACAGGTGAATGTTGTGAGCATTGAGGGATGCTGAAATAAGCGGTGGGAGCTCACATAGCCCACTGAGCGTCTGCTCTCGTTGAAGTCGGGGCGACGATTCCATGTCTTCGAAGTGCTCCTGGCCAGAAATGTGGTCCGCAAGCACGTCACCCAAGCGGTAGAGGCGCAGGCAGGCAGGGCATATTCGGCTTGTGGAACGGCTTTTGTTATACCAGAGAATCTAGAAGTATGCTCGATATATTCTTTGAACGGAAAATGGCGAATACGACGCACGTATGCAATTTCTTCCGGTAATATGGTCATAAGCATCTCCAACACCTCCTCTTGGGCAAACTCGGCACATAATGAGTCCTGCGAAGCCATTTTTACATTCGAGACCAACAGAAAGCTTTGAGGTGAACGTACATCGAATGCGGGTGGTTGAGAGAAATGAGATGATAGAAATGCGCGTACATCACGCACACGCGGCCCATTGCCTGGGTCATGAATGACTGGAGTCTGGGGCATAAGAAGTGGTACTGGCTCCCCAGTCGGCTCCAGTGAAGCCTCATGGCGAATACTTGCAACTTCGCTATTTATATCATCATATATAGGCTGTGATTCGACGTTCCTTGCCTCCTGAGCGTGTGGCGGTTGTGTCTGAAAGACAGTACGTGTATAAGCATGAGAACGATTAAACCAATCCGCTGCCAGAACTTTCTTGGATGCTTTCCCGCTGTACCTCTGTTTCCTTTTTGAGTTGGATGGTCCGGGCATGGCTCTAGAGTATTTGTATCCTTGACACGATAGGACGACGAAGTGAAAGGAAGTTGTGTGGTCAGTGGGTACCGGTGTGACCGTGACTGACGCGTGCAGTCACGGCGCGCAGTTATCCCTCAATCGCGTCGGACCCAGCTGCAAGCGAAGACATTGAGCTCAAATAATATCAAGAGTATAGTCTGTGCGCGTTTGAGTAGAATTTTCATAAAATGCTGCTGAACCGTGAACGCCGAACGGTAGTAAAATACATGTTCGATGCGATTAGGTATTAGACCGTTTATCAGTCAATATACATGTATTGTAATTGAGGTGTCTCCTCCAAGTCTCCTGAACATACTTATCCTCATAATGAGCCAAGGGTCAAGCGCGGGCGATCATGACTAATTTTGGTGACACACCGGCCCGTTTCATCAATGATCCTGAAAAAAACTTGTCAAAAATCAAACTCATACTTTACCGAGTGTTATAAAAGGCTAAGTCTTAGAGGATGAGTTCCTCTGTGCTTCATTTGCGCTACGAAAAACTGAGACTCCATGCCCAACTGAGCGAGAAGGTCTCGAGAATTGATTGGTTCTCATAATATTGTAGACGCGACGCGACGCGACGCCGATAATCCCCTCAACCTATTTTCCCGTTGTGCCTTGATCGGCACGTCAAAGAGCAGCCGAATCTGTATCCATAAAATACATACGATGGTGATTGGTGTTGGCTGGGAACTGATATCTCGCAACCCCTTACCGCCCTCCTTTCACCTGCCATGGGGCTCGTACGTCTTCATGGGATAATTGCCTCCATCCTTGGCCTGGTGATGGCTGCACAGTGGCAGCAAACTCTGGTTACTGCTGCTCTCCCGTCGAGTGC